TGAAATAGTACATTTTCATTGTCCAGATTGAGTACAACTATTCACGCAAGAGAGATATTTGTCTACCTGATGTCTACGTCTTAGTTGTTATTTGAGACACACACTCCAAAATTTGATTTGACAGGCTAAATTTCTACAAACCTGTTAACTTTTGATTGTAATTTACAAAATACAAGTAGGAGTACACCATCAACAACACAAACTATCCTACTTCTATGTACTGTGTTGCAATGAATACCCTATTCCTTTCCAAATGCATGTCAATCAACGTTGTTTCTGACCAATTACAGAATGTAATGGATGCTACTGACCAATCGTAGAAAGCAACGGATGCTTTGCTTAGCGCAGTATTCAAAACGAAAGGAAAACAAAACAAAACATAAGTATTGATAAGCAAATACACAGACCATGATTATCTCACAATTCTCATGACTTTAATGGGTTCTACATTACACACCAGACACCAGGTGTAATTGACAAGTACAATTTTCTAAACTGCATATTTTATTTCCTTCTTCTTTTTAAAAAGTTAGTCATAAATGGCATGACAATTTTCATCCATTTATTATGTAAGATCATGAAGCTAATGTCCCATTTTTTTGTGTTACAGTGACGTATTATGACAAACTTGTTCCAATATTTTTCCAAAATCTGCTATTTTTAGAACAATTCCAAGCAAAATGTTAAAGAAAAATTGCATTTTTTGACACTTTTTAAAACCCAGATTTTTTAAATAACTGAGGACAAGAAAAAGTACCCCATCATTCATAATACTGTAAAATGACTAATTTTCATTGGGTTTAAATTTTGCTGATTTGCTATTTCAGACATATTCAGTGGGTTTTAAATTCACGGTTTTATTATTTAGATAGTGTCTTATGCTAAATTTTACATATTCACTTGGTTTTAATTTTCCAGTCTGCAAAATAAGCATAATTAAAACCCAGTGAATAATTAACCCCTTGACAGTATATAATTTTTTCAGCCCATGTCACCAGACTACAATTTGACATATGGCATAATATATCTGCCATAGGAACCTATGGTAAAAGCATTATAATACTGCCAAAATACACCACTATCCACTGAAATACAACCATCATTTTATCAAAAATTAAGCAGATGACCCCCAAACTTTTTTTTTAAGTTACAGCAAGTCTCAGAAGTATTGGGGCAGCCAATTTGCAAGGTCGCTTGCGAATTGGCTAACTGCATTGGTTTTGACTAAACTGTTGGTTTTTGAATATTGCTGGCGCTGTCTGTTGGTCACGCCCACTCTGGGAGAATCTATATAACAGTAGGGGACGGTCTTATAGTTGAATGTCGCATTCAAATATACCAGAGAAAGTGTTATATGTTCTTTGTTTAATGAGGTGTTGGGATACAAGGGATTGCCCACTCAAAAATGACAAATGAGCTCGAATTTTTTAGCTGATTGTTTAGTGTTACCCTGATTTTCTCCCTGATTTGTAGGAAACTGTTTTTCAACTTGTCTATGTAGTTCCAAGCAGTGTTCACGATGGCTACCCCATATAGTAAATATCGGTAGATTAGCCTTAATCGCATTTATCATATTATCGCTTGTACACCAGCTGACTGTGGCCATTCTCAGGCTGACCAGGGAAACTACTTTTTACATTATCAAGCCAAGCGTAACAAAGAAAAACATTCAGGGGAATCCAGAAATGTACCAGCGTGAAGCTAGGCGATTAGGTGCCGTACGCGAGCGCCGGTTCGAGTCACGCACGCAGTACGTATTTACTATAATTAGACATAGTCTTTACCTTGCCGTTTATTCGGTGTTATTTGCTTACTTTACTTCCTATGTCGACAGCAATTATGAGTTTAAAAATTATTTCTCAGTACTTATTCACTGTTAAAAAAATGCTGTACCATTACTTTCACCATCCTACTACAGCCAGATCTGAAGGCCTTTGCCGCATACTGGCCATGCTGTGTGGCGCGTATCGCGTGGACGGGTTTCATGTTCCTCTGCAC